TATATATGTATATATATCTCAAACATGTCATAGTTTTAGGGATTCGTTGTATATATATATAATAATCAAGTAGATTAATCCCTTTCTATACAAAGAATGAGAGAGAGGGAGGAGTATGTCTTTGAAATCTAATATCGAAAAAATATTGAGTGTCCGTTTACTTAGGATCCGGATTGGAATGAGATTATGTCAAACAGAGATGGTATCTAAATGTCGATCTGAAGATGAATATCGGCTAGGATCAACAAAGGATTGCCAAGCTTGAATCACAAAAAAAAAAAAAAAAATTAATAGTAGCAATCCCTTAATGAAGTTTTATGCTACATGATTTGAAAACAGGGAAAGCTTGCGAATATTGAGTGAAATCAAGAAAAATTCCGAAATTTTGAACCAAGTATCAATGCACAAGAATATACCAGTATTTAACCAAGCTATTTATATTAGCTAAGAGAAGATTCCGAAGGGTAAAATAATGCTAACGGGTTATCAATATTTTGTACACTTCCATGATGCCATCTATCTCTCTATATCATCGCAGAACAGCTGCAAGTAGCAGAACGCCTCACCAAATTCTTTTTGATTTATTTATCATATATTGATATATATTTAAATTTTTTCTCTCTCTCTCTTGCTACATTAACTCGGCGGTAGCTGTGTTAAATGATGATTTGTAAAAGAGGAAAAAAAGTTATATGGTTCAAACTCAGAATAAGAAAAACAGTGAAAAGTAAATGCATCGTTAAATGAATTTTGAAGGGAGTACGTTACACTAGAACACCACCAAATAATATATATTTTCTAGGCCAGATACAAACAAACTATGTTCTGGTATTATAAGTTGGAATATTTTAATCTAAAAAGAAGTAAATACAATACTTTTCAACCAAATACAACTAATGCTAGCATGATAAGCTGCGGCACTGCAACACCTTCATTTTTAAAATAATACAAAAACTTGTATTTAGAGTAATTACGAATTCACTCTTGAGCATGTCATAAAATAATCTTCCAGTCCTATGTAACTGTTTTCAGCCAAGAGAGTCTTGTTAACATGCTTTTGGGATTGCCCAGCCCTTGAAAGCTTGAATGAAGCATTTGTTTTCTTTACAAATTATTTTTATGTTATTCAAACATTACTATACTACAAGTTAGCCAAAATAATGCATAGAATAAGAGCTTACTGATCTGTTTTGTTGTTGTTGTTGTTGT